ACGGCACGGCAGAGTTGGCACGGCCTCCTCGGTTTGCCCCGGAGAGCACGGCGGCCTCCCCTCACCAAGACCGCCACTCAAGGGGCATGACGCACAACACGCCACGGGGGGCCTCGGGCCCCGCTCCCCTCACACGCTCCTCCGGGCCCCCGCCCAGGACGTTCAGCCAACACCCTGCGCGCTGACATGCGGAGAGTTTTCCTTTTGCTGCTCTTGCAGCTCCTGCTGCGTTCCCGGCCCCGGTTCCATCCCCACCACGCCTGAGGCTCCTTCCACGGCTCTGGATCAGAGAGGGCCCGAGGCCGCCAAGCCGGACTTCTACCTACGGAGTAAGGCCCCTGCGGCCGCTTCTCCCGGCCAGTCCCGCTCAGCCCGACCCAGCGTACGCTCCGCGCAGCGTTGGCCTTTGCAAGCAGGGCCGGTTGCTCCTGAGGGGACCACATCTTAGCTGCTCTAGGAGGGAACAAGCCAACACCTGCCTCAGTGCGTCGCCCTCTGGCTCTGGCTACCTCGCGGCTATGTCCGCGCTCTGACCAGCGGCCATGAAACCAGAACGTTTCCACCGCAGGGTCTGCCCTGGCCAACGGCCTCCCGCTTGTCCCCAAGCCCGGACGTGCCGCACAACGGACACTGAGCGTTCCACGCGAGTCGCTCTAGATGCGCTGAAACCTCCCGGCTCCTGGTGGGAGCTGCCTGGGTCGCGCCTGATTCAACGTGATACGGGAGGCGCGTCAGAGGGAAGGGGCCGCACCTCAGCTAGCACAGTGGGGAGGGTCTGGCGTGGCCGGGTGTGAAGAGACCAGCCCGATGCAGACTCAGGCAAAGAGCCAGAGAGCCAAGCAGCAGCTGTGAGCACCACGGGGCTGTGGGAAAAGCTGGAGCGAAGGTTTTCGGGCTCTGGCGTGGGCCAAGCGAGGGCTGGCAGGCGATTCACAAAACGAAGCGCGATTTAAAAATTAATTGCGCTGTTAAACAATAAGAATACAGCCCCCCCACTCCAATCCAATGCCCTCACCCTCCCACACAGCCCGGTGCCTCCAGAGCCCCTGCTTTAACTCAATGCCCCATCCCACCTGCAGAACTGGGGACATAACTTAGCAGGGCGGAGGGTAAAATGGTGACTCAATAGGAGGAGCCAAATTCCCCTCCACAGAACTGGGGACATAACCTAGCACAGTGGTCCCCAATCTTTTGGGGCTGCCGGGCACCCGGGGCGCAGGAATGACTCGGGCCAGCCCTAGTCACTAGGGGGCGCACAGAAATGCCCCAGCGGGCACCACGGCACCACGTTGGGGACCTCTAGCCTAGCAGGTCAGAGGGTAACATGGTGACACTCCATGGGAGGAGCCAACCCCACCCCCCCACACACACTGGACCTGCCCTGGGTCTCGCCGGAGCTGCTGCGGCCGTGAACGGTCCGGGTGTGCGGCTCCGAACGCTCCATTTGACAGGCCCGTGTCATAGAATCATAGAATCATAGAACTGGAAGGGACCTCGAGAGGTCATCGAGTCCAGCCCCCCGCCCTCAAGGCAGGATCAAGCTCCGTCTACACCATCCCTGACAGATGTCTATCTAACCTGTTCTTAAATATCTCCAGAGAGGGAGATTCCACCACCTCCCTTGGCAATTTATTCCAATATTTGACCACCCTGACAGTTAGGAATTTTTTCCTAATGTCCAATCTAAACCTCCCCTGCTGCACTTTAAGCCCATTACTCCTTGTCCTGTCCTCAGAAACCAAGAGGAACAAATTTTCTCCTTCCTCCTTGTGACACCCTTTTAGATATTTGAAAACCGCTATCATGTCCCCCCTTAATCTTCTTTTTTCCAAACTAAACAAGCCCAGTTCATGAAGCCTGGCTTCATAGGTCATGTTCTCTAGACCTTTAATCATTCTTGTTGCTCTTCTCTGTACCCTTTCCAATTTCTCCACATCTTTCTTGAAATGTGGCGTCCAGAACTGGACACAGTACTCCAGCTGAGGCCTAACTAGTGCAGAGTAGAGCGGCAGAATGACTTCACGAGTTTTGCTTACAACACACCTGTTGATACAACCTAGAATCATATTTGCTTTTTTTGCAACAGCATCACACTGTTGACTCATATTCAACTTGTGGTCCACTATGACCCCTAGATCCCTTTCCGCCATGCTCCTTCCTAGACAGTCGCTTCCCATCTTGTATGTATGGAACTGGTTGTTCCTTCCTAAGTGGAGCACTTTGCATTTCTCTTTATTAAACCTCATCCTGTTTACCTCTGACCATTTCTCTAACTTGCTAAGGTCATTTTGAATTATGTCCCTCTCCTCCAAAGAAGTTGCAACCCCACCCAGTTTGGTATCATCTGCAAACTTAATAAGCGTACTCTCTATCCCAATATCTACATCATTGATGAAGATATTGAACAGTATGGGTCCCAAAACAGACCCTTGAGGAACTCCACTTGTTATCCCTTTCCAGCAGGATTTAGAACCGTTAACAACAACTCTCTGACTACGGTTATCCAGCCAATTATGCACCCACCTTATCGTGGCCCTATCTAAGTTATATTTGCCTAGTTTATCAATAAGAATATCATGCGAGACCGTACCAAATGCCTTACTAAAGTCTAGGTATATGACATCCACCGCTTCTCCCTTATCCACAAGGCTCGTTATCCTATCAAAGAAAGCTATCAGATTAGTTTGGCATGACTTGTTCTTCACAAACCCGCCCCTCGCCGCCCCCCTCCGCAGGGCAACATCCTGGACAGTTTTTGCCATTTCAAAACACTGGCTGGCCGGAGATGTAACGAGTGAAAACGAGGACACGTCTGGGAAAACCAGCTGTATGTAGCCCTAGATTAATGCGTGTCCGTGTTTTTAACGGGTGAATTCTCCCCTGTGTTAATCGCAGGCGTTAACGCACGTTAATTGACAGCCTCGCTAAAACGGCCTGGGGCAGCAAGCGAAGAGACTGGTCTGCTTGTTCCCGGGGCCTCGCGTTCGCAGAAGCAGGACTGTGCGCTCCTTGTTGCAGCAAAGAAAGTACCAGCCGCCCACGTCGCGTTCTACCCCTCTGCTGAAACAGGCCCCGTTGCTCGGCTCAAAAAGCTGCCCCCTTCTTTTGTGCCCTGAGCCCCCTCCAAGTGCGCGGGCTACGGACAGCCTCAGAATTTGACAAGGGGATTACACAAGGGACGACGTTTCACTGCCAAACTGGCCATCGCTTGCGGCAATGACACGCCAGGAGGAACCTGCGAGGCCTGCAGATACCTTAGCCACGGGCGAGTTTCTAGGGCTGGCAGTTAAAGAAACGTCTCGTCAGCCGCGGCGTCTCGGAGATACAATAAAGAAGCGCAGAGGAAAAGGGACTAAAAGGTGCAGAGCAGAACTGGATTTGAAAACGAAAAGGAACGTCAGTGACTACAAATATCTCCTGCCGCCGCCGCAGGCACCGGTCACGGGGACTCAGCCACGTCTCCTCGTACCGCCAGACGGAAAAACGGAAGGATGCGTGTTGGAAGGACCTGATCTCACACAGACCCGCTCCGGAGTATGAG